TGTGAATGTAGAGAGAAAACCAGTGGCCGCAGCTAAGCACCCAACTGTGGTATTAAGTAGAAAGCATGATGTTAGCACATGCCCTCTTACTTAAACACATATTCATTCTCTCTCTCTCTCTCTCTCTCTCTCTCTCTCTCTCTCTCCTCTCTCTCTCCTCTCTCTCTCTCTCTCTCTCTCTCTCTCTCTCTCTCTCTCTCTCTCTGAAATCATCCTTGAGTTCCGCGCAAAGGGCGCCTGTTTCTCTGCTGCACAGCTATTGAGGAGGGTAGCTCAAGTGAGGGGGTAAGGTCCCGCAGTCGCAGGCATCCCCCTGTTGCCTGGATGACAATGAAGCTCTTTGTTCAGCTGTGTGAATGTGAAGTGTGGTCTCTCGGATGAGCTCAGAGTTTCCTAGTTATTCTACACTTACCTGAAAGCACCAAGTATTGGAGCTTTTGAATGCATATGCAGACTGCTAAGTGTCCTTTTTTGAGGCGCTGTGCTAAACGAGGGCTCCATCAGACCCCACCACTGCTCTCTTCTACCTCGCTATTTGGACTCCAGTGCTCTCGCTCTCTCCCTCTCCCCTTCATATTTCTGGAGGCACATTTGCACTGATTTCTTTGAATTTACTGATCGAATAATCGTATCCCTGCCGCAGACACTGGCATCATGTCATTGTCCATGTCTGGGACAAAGTTTTTCCGAAGAAAAACTTAAATCCTTCTGTTGGGAACCGTGTGCTGGGACACAGATGTACCCCACACCAACAACGTTTGTTTGGAGGAAAAAGGCTATTATTGACAAACATAACTTTCTTGTATGCCAGCCTGTGGTTCTGAGTCAAGAGATCAAGTGTCATTTTAAAAAGACTTTCAATAAATATCATCCCATCGAGGTATTTGTTATCAAAGGTTACATGTTTAAAAATGCAAGCACTTCAGAGTTTGCTTTAGAGTATGTTTGCCACCCGTTTTCCAGTTAGGCATAGGGTAGCGTTTTTGACAAAAAGTCAAATAAACCTTTAGTGTGGTTCCTTAATTGCTAGGTGGGCAGGCCTCAACCAGGAGGACCCAGACTGTTCCCACTGGGTTCTTCACCCAAGTGCAGGCTCAGCTGTCTCAAGACACAGTTTGTAACCCTAAGGAGCCTTCAGTGTGGAAGGAAGGTGGGGAGGCAGGCAACGTTCCCATAGAACAGAGGCCACTGGAGCCAGCATAGACCAGGAGTAATAAAGAAAAAAAGTGCCTGGACCATTCTGAGAAAACCTAGGCAAACCTATTTCTCCTCCCTGTATCTTCATAGACACTATGTTGAAAGAAAGAAAGAAAGAAAGAAAGAGCAGAAAAAAATCTAAGAAAAGGCCATTGAAATTCTCTGAGATTTTAAAACAAAAACTAATACTTCACCATATACCCTTAAAAGACATAACTCTAAAGATGTTTTGATGTGATCGTCAATTCAACCCAAGAATCTTGATGGCAGAATGTAAACTTTAGAACAAGGCACAGGGATGATGCCAGGTCGTGTATCAGCAGTACTCAGCCTGTATCTCAAAGATGTAATAAAAAAAAAAAAAACCTTAATCCACATGTTTTTCCTTGTTTCTTGTTTCAGCATGTGCTGTGAACATACCCTGGGGCTCACTGGCTTGATGAGAAGTCTTTGTCTTGCTTTTGAGATAGGGTTTCTCTATATAGGCCTCTCTGTCTGTCCTGAAACTTGCTCTGTAGACCAGGCTGACCTTGAACTCACAGAGATCCACCTGTCTGCCTCCCAAGAGCTGGGATTAAAGGTGTGTGCCACCACTGCCTAGCTAGTTAACTGCTTTTAAGGATTGTCATATTGGCCAAGTTATATTGTACTTATTTCTGGGTTTCTCCTTTGTGAAGAGAACTAACCTACATATCCCTTCATTTCCCCCTACTGTTGAAACCTACGGCTCAAAAATAACAGCAGCAGCTACTAGATAGCAGAGAATCAAGAGAGGGGTTTTTTTTCTTGTATTTTTCAAGATCTCTAATTTATTACACGCTAAAAATCTCTTTCAAACTGGTACCAACGTGGCTTTTCTTCTTGAGCTGATTAGGACCACATGAGCTCAGGAAAAGCTGTCAGATCCTGCCTCTGGCACAGCTGGAATAATCCAACTGATTTGCTAGTATGGGTTTTTTTTTCCCCCAAGAAATAAGCTTCATCCCAAAGTTATAAATTTATATGCTGTGAGAAGATGTGAGCAAAAAGTATTCCTGATTCAGACAAAGAAGACATCGCGGCGGCACCTTTGATGTGAACTCTAAAACAAAAGCAACTTGGGCAACACTTTGGTCAACCTTCATTCTCTCTGTCGTCTCTGAATTCCAACGACACATGAAAACACCAATCTACAAGTCATGATTGAAGACCATGTGAAGATGCTGGCCCTTGAAAGATTTTGTTTGTTAAAGACTAGCCCAGGACAGAGTTGGGACCCAGAGAATGCCTGTCTTCAGCTGTGCCCCAGCGCCTTGCAACCCACTCCTCGGTATTCACCACAGTGGCCCAAGGGCAGCCGCAGCGCTCCCTGGCTCCAAGAGGAGGAAACCCTTGCTTCCTGGTCCCTGCCAGGCCTCCTCCACATCAAAACTCATCTCTCTGCCTCGTTTTCATTGTTTTCATTCAGGGTTTCTGTCTCGGCTGAGCATTCCCAAGCCTGCTTTAATGTACTCATGAATCCTAATACATTTGTATTTATCATCTTACCAAATGCCCTTCAGCAGACCAAGCCATCATACCCCATCTTAAAAAGATGGCCTCGCACGCGCTCTTTGCCTCAGCAAACCTTCTTAAGCCCTTATCTGATAACTGACTGGGAGGCGGGCGTTTTAAGGAAAAGGCAGAGGTCTTTCTGTCACCCTTTACATTTTAACTTGATCTTCCAATTTCTTTCTTCACTCACCCCTTTCAGTCCTCTCTGGATTTGGGGCTTTCTGTTTGTTGCCTGTTCTGCTCCAGTCTGGCCCAGAGCCCCCCACCCCCCACACACACCAGGCCGTGACAGCCTAACCTGCTGATTCAACAATTTTTTTTCATGTTGATTCTTCAAAAAGATTTCTTAGTCTTTTGGTCTTTGTTCAAAATTACTAAAACCGTGAGGAAGTCTTCTTTATTCTGGTTACAATGCACATAGAATTATATCACCAACCAGATTGGAGTGTGGTGGTTTCCTCTGTGAAGAATCGCATAAGCCTCTGTCCTCAATTAGTAGTTAACCAGGCTGAGAGGATATGAATAAAGGCCGACCGTGCTGTATGCGACAGTGGCTTGACAGGAGAGGAGAGCCGTGTGGTACGGCCGGCACCTCACTGCTCTCTGCCTCCGCTAGCCTGGGAAGCCATGCATGCAGAAGAGCAAAACTTACAGGCCCCAACAAAAGGAGCACACAATGCTACCTGTAGAGGCTCGCCGCCAAGGGAAGGTGACAGTCCCCGGCCCTCCAGAGCCCTGCACAGTGTGGCAGTGTTAGAACAAAACTTGCCACCGTGTGAGGCATTCATCAAGGCTTTTTCAAGCAACAGCGAAGACATAATTATTAAGTTTTATAGCCGTCCGTTTAGCATATTGGGGGGGGGGGGGGGGGAGAGGAAGCCTGTCTGCTTATAGACACCGTCCGTGGAGGTTTGATTTGTGGCCACTTCCAGAGGCAGGAAGAGTTTCAACAGCCCGAAACCTTGTTCTTTTCCAAAGTGATTCCCTTTCCCCATCCACATCCCCCCCCCAAAAAAAATCAAAATGTACTTCATGAAACTATTGTATATGAAGCACTTATTAGCCGTAATTAAATGGACAATATGAATTTACTACGTCTTTAGGACTCTGGCTTGTTCTGGTTTAGAGCAAGATGATTAATGCAAATACATATTACTTGAGATAACCATTTAGCAGCTAATTTAGCCAAATTTATTACAGCAGTTTGGGGCTTCTCATTTTAGCAGACGGAGACAAGGACATGCCAAAAGTGGGTCATGTAGACGAGTGCGCACTGCCCTCTAGTGGCTGGCAGGCTGGTGCGCTGGGGGTGGGGGGGCGCGATGAGCAGAGGTCTCGGAGTCCTAAGGGCAGAGCCTTACCTGCAGACTCTGGAACCATTCCCACCCGGAGCACTTTATTTCGGGGATGATTTACTGCAGTTTCCCCTTTTAGTAGCTCAGGAGAACACAGATACAAATCAAAGCTGTTTCAACTTGGCAAGATTCTGGTTAAAGTGTCGTTTTTAACATCTGCCTTTTACAGTGGGCATTTAAAGGCACCAACCGGTTCGTGTGACTGAACGTTTTCACTTGGTCCTCGTTTTGCGCCGTATTTCAGTGGCTGCGTGGGATTGTCACTCTGTTTGGCTCAAGTCAAGTCAAGAGCCAGTGTCTCTCTCTGACTGGCTGGGGGATTTATTTTGTTCTAACCTTCTGCCCGTCTCACCAGTTTACCCCGGCTGACCAATGTAAATTTAGTTCATCCAAGGACTATAAATTCTGTAAGACAAGATCAAAAGGAACAGATGGCTAAGGACACGGGTTGATATTGCTCAGGCTGAAGGGGAATGATCAAAGACAGAGGGGGTTAGGCATCTTCAGAACCATTCAAATATCCAGAATCTCCAAGAGGGCAACTCGAAGCTATGCATAAATCATACCCAGATTTGCCTTCCTTACCATCTGATGCTAAACCTACTGACAATATCCACACCACATTAGGTGTGCTCTGAGCCAAAAAGATTAGTGGTCCTTTTATTCCTCCTTTCACACCACGGCTGCCCAGAAGGGAATAGAGGCTCACTACAAATGCCAGGAACCCTAGCTGGGCAGCTGCCGCTCCAGTGAGAAGCTGACTTCATTTGTGCTAATGGCATCTTAAGTTGGGCATACCCTGGACTTCCCTGGATTTGGTCTGAGGTTGGGCAGAGATGAAAACTGTTCTGTGACAATCTTAATACTATGCCTTCTGTTTTGTTTTCTCCCGCCCCCCACTTTACCCTACCCCAGTGCTGAATAAGGGTCAGTGTGTGACGAAGTACTATCGCTGGATGCAGAAAAATGGAGGCTACATCTGGATACAGTCAAGTGCCACCATAGCGATCAATGCTAAGAACGCAAACGAGAAGAACATCATCTGGGTGAATTATCTTCTTAGGTATCTTTCCTGTTTCATTTCTCTCTCGGTTATAAACTGGTTAACAGCTGAAACATCACGGGTGCCATCTTTTCTCGGGACGTGGGCAGTCTGCTCTTCTTCTCCCAAAATTCAAAGAAATGGAAGAAGATCAAAGCCCAGGAAATCTTGGGTTGCCAGTCTTTGGGGAGCTCTAGAGAAACTGGCATCCTTTCCTGGTCCACGTCCCACCCAGGAAAGATGCCTGCAGCTGCAGTCTAGACAGGAAGCATCTCCTAGCTCCTACATAGCCTTTGCCTCTGCACTCCAACACCTGGGAAGGTAAGCAAGAGGATCCTTGCAGGGAATTCCATCCCCTCAGCCTTCTGCATACGGTCTTGCTCTCTGGGCACTCAAATTTTGGTAAGCAAGATTAACGATTTTGCCAGAACACTGTCAGTGTCAGTGCAAAATAACAATGATTATGGTAATAATAATAATAATAATCTCTTTTTGCTTGCCACTCTATGCACTTAGACAAGTTTTATGCTCTTAAAATTTGTATCCATGGCAGTACAAATTCAGCCGCTTCCTGGACACTGGTGTAAGGTACCTTTGTTTCTCTTTCCCTGTGTCTATTTTTCTTTGGGATTCTGACAATCTGGACGGTTTTGAGTTTGAGGACAAGACTTCTGGAAAGTTCGCTACCAGTCCTGTCACGAAGCTAGCACAACGTTTGGCTTGCCTCCCACCCACCACCGTCATTAGTCTTTGGTCTCTTGTCCTAAAGGCACCAAGCAGGATCCATGTGTGCTTGAGTAGGGAAACTTCCAGGAGAGCTAATGGTGGACGTTGATGCCCTTTGGCTGATATTTCGACCAAGACTACCTGAGTCCCATTTTTCTTAGAGACAGCCAAATGGAGCTGAAGTCTTAGCCAGCTTGGCTCATCGGCACACGGGCTCTTCGGTGTTTCCCACACTTTGACCTTTGACTGGAGGCATGAACGTGTTTGCTGCCCACCGCATATCAATCAGACACTAATGATTATTGCTCTGGAGAGAGGGCCTTAATGGATCCCACTTACAAGAGTTTTCATTTATCTACTTTTCTTTTTCCCTTTTTGACCTCTTTAATTTTCTCTAAAAGTGTGTGTGGGGGGGGTGTTTTGTGTGGCTTTCTGCAAAGCTTGATAATCACTAGGACTGTCCCCTGTGTTTGTGATACTATCATGGGTCCTGGGGTCTGACATCAAGGGGTCCTTTTAAGTCATCCCACGAAACGATCACTATTTCTACTACAAAAAAAAAAAAAACATGAAAGTTCCTGTGAGAAACAGAAAATTGAACAAGATCCCATGCACAGATGCTCTTTTGCCAGGCAAATGTGGTGATGTGGTTGTGAGGAGTTAAACACTGGTAAACATTCCCAAAGGCTAGACAGTGTCTGTCCACCATGTTGGTGCACCGAAGGCCTCTGAGGTCATCTATATGTTTGGTATTCAAATTCTGTGGGATTTATTGACCTGTTAGTATTTATTTCCTTGGCAAGATTGGTTATTTTATTTATTTATTGGTTACTGTTTACTTTAGACTACTTCATTAGCCACATGACTCCCCACGCTGCCTGCAGTGGCAGAAGTAGCAAGGAATAGAAGATACTGGTTCACCACCATTAATCTAGTCTAGGGTCGATGAGGACCAGTCCATAAGCGCCTGGTGTTCTGTCTCCCCGAGTTTCATACGAGAGGAAGAAAGCCACGTGGGCATGAAAGGCCAGCCTGCAGGCTTCAAAGCCTTGGTCTCATGCGTGGTAGGTCTTTTACAGATGACCTGAAGGCCTACCCTGAGATCACTAGTAACTGTCCAGGAACTGGAGACCAGTGATCATGGAGACCCCATGGCACCAGGACTACAGGGAACCAATGCCAGTGGGCTTAGACAAACCCAGTTCATAAGCCAGCCACCCATAGGTGCCACTCTGGAGGCTGGCGATCTAGGAAGAAAATCATTCCTGGGCACAAGAAAAACTCCTAAATTGGCTTTTCTTTCCCACCTTCTTAGCCAAAAGGGATTATTCTTTCCTAAGCAATACTCCACTTCTGGGCCCTATCCAGGCTCGCCTTCCGCTATTGAGAGCACTGCCCATTTCCTGGGAGCACGGACTGGAATTCCACACTCAGGCTGCAGAGTGCCAAGTCTGTCTTCCCACCATTGGTCTCATCTGATTATCTAGAAAAACCCTGGTGCTGTTAAAGATAATTCACACTAAAGAGTAAATGCCTGATAATCCATCTTAGCGAATTAACCCTCCCAGGGATGTTTGCAGTTTTTAGAGTGGTCGGAAACAGTGGCTTCTTAATGTGGGGGATTCAGAAGCATATGAGCCCACAATCATCTGTCGTCACCGCCTTGGCCAGCCGTGCCCAAGACAGATGAGGCACTTCCCATTTGGAGGCAAGATGCTTCCCTCGTGCCTTGAGGTTATGGTCAGAAGCCTCTACTGATGATAAGTGTGGCCGCCTGGGATCGGCTTTTCCAGAAGATGGCTAACTCAAACTGACCAAACATTTCACTTCCGGGAGAGGCTCATTTCCAGATTAAAAGCAGAACAAGCATAAAGCACACTTGTGTACATGGGTTTAGCTCCATTCTGTTAGGGCCTCTCCCGCCGCAATCAGAGCCCCAGCTAACAAGCCACAGGTGTACTCCGCATGAGCAGATGAAACTGTGATTGTAATGGGTGTGCTGACAGTTCGGGAGCCTCGCATCCCAAGATGCACCTGTGCATCTGACAGATCGTTAGGCACTGAGGGCCTGCCGCCAGCCCGCCCCCTCACCCCCCCCCAAGCCCCCCACCCCCTAACCCCCGCCATAGCACTGGAACCATGGGAACAGCTGAGAAGTTGCACCAAGGGGCCAAGGCAAGGGTACTGAGGCAATGAACTCATTAGAAGCACAGAAGACGGTAGGACACACCAGGTGGTGTGGGAATGAATCGCTGAGATTTCCTCTCATTGGCCCAGCCCCCAGGTGTTATGCCAGGAGGAGCATCAAGCCGCATGGTTCTCTGGCCCCCGGTGGTACCTGATTATTTAAAAGCTTTTTAACGGCTTTCATGCAGCATTTGGGGTATTCAATCATTGTGGCAGGGCGCACCTGTACCCTGGCACGCACAATCCAAGTTTCTGCGAGAAGTCTCGTGAGGAGCTGAGAAATAACTTCCTGGTTAGTCCTCTAAACTTCCTCAACTCCAGGAGTCTTAGGGCAAGGACGTTGAGGAGATGACGAATGCCTGCCCTCCTGATGGATGTCTTCCTTCCCACAGCAATCCTGAGTACAAGGACACGCCCATGGACATCGCACAGCTCCCGCACTTGCCAGAGAAGACTTCAGAATCCTCCGAGACATCCGACTCTGAATCAGACTCTAAAGACACCTCAGGTATAACAGGTATTACGTCTCCATGATCTACAGCTAAGGCCTGCCGGTCTAAACACAAGGGGTGGGTAGCAGCCAGAGGGCCATGGTCAGAGGCCTAGCGGCTGGCCAAATTGGCTGTATTCTGGTCACAGCTTGGGATGTGGGGGCGCACTTTATGGTAGAGTTTGTTTTCCTGGTCCTTAAAATGTTTTGTCCTCGCCACCCCCTCTTATTAACATAGTAGTTAACAAAACCCCTTACTATCATGAGCTTATAGCTGAAGAAAGAGACAGACACAAATACAAAGACAAGTCAAATAGGGAATGATAGCGTGGTGGGGAGGGGGGGACCACAGATAGACTGTGGTTTTCCATAATGAATAGATGCTCATCGGTGGAAAGCACAAACCTCTCTAACAGTCACCTGGCGCTCCAGTGTCTTGTCTTCCATATCCCTAAACCATATTCCGGGTTAATCGGACTCCCTGGCTGTGTCCACAGGAGTTCCCACGCTTGCCTGTGCCTAACAACCATCCGTTCACAGGCAGTATCTGACCTGGATGGACAGGGCAGCACCTGGAGGCGGCATTAGCGCCAAATATAGGACTTTGTGTGTTGATGGCCTACCGGAAGGGGCGGGTATTGCTGGCCTATGGCCCGCCCCTTCCGCTAAACTTCAATCCCAGGCTTTCTCATTTTGCAGAAGGGTGCTTTGGCTCATGCTATGCCTGATGCTAAAATCTGCTGCCCTGCTAACACAGTGTCTTCTCTCCCCACTCCTGCCCCCCTGCCACCTGCGGATCTCACGCAGAGGACAACGAGAACTCCAAGTCCGACGAGAAGGGCAATCAGTCCGAGAACAGCGAAGATCCAGAACCTGACCGCAAGAAGTCAGGCAGCGCCTGTGACAACGACATGAACTGCAACGACGACGGCCACAGCTCCAGCAACCCAGACAGCCGCGACAGCGACGACAGCTTCGAGCATTCGGACTTTGAGCACCCCAAGGCAGCCGAGGATGGCTTCGGCGCGCTGGGCCCCATGCAGATCAAGGTGGAGCGCTACGTGGAGAGCGAGGCAGACCTGCGGCTGCAGCCCTGCGAGTCGCTCACGTCGGACAGCGCCAAGGACTCGGACAGCGCGGGCGAGGCGGGCGCACAGGCGTCCAGCAAGCACCAGAAACGCAAGCGGCGGCGGAAAAGGCAGAAGGGCGGCAGTGCCAGTCGCCGGCGCCTGTCCAGCACGTCTAGCCCGGGCCTGGACGCCGGCCTGGTGGAGCCACCGCGGCTGCTGTCATCACCGCATAGCGCCTCGGTGCTCAAGATCAAGACAGAGATCGCCGAACCCATCAACTTCGACAACGACAGCAGCATCTGGAACTACCCGCCCAACCGGGAGATCTCCAGGAATGAGTCCCCGTACAGCATGACCAAACCCCCCAACTCGGAGCACTTCCCGTCCCCGCAGGGCCAGGGTGGCAGTGGTGGCGGCAGCAGCAGCAGCGTGGGAGCACTGCACGTGGCCATCCCCGACTCGGTCCTCACCCCACCGGGCGCTGATGGCGGGGCTGGCCGTAAGACTCAGTTCAGCAGCTCGGCCCCAGTGGCCTCCGACCCGCTGTCGCCCCCACTCTCGGCATCCCCTCGGGAAAAGCACCCCGGGGGCGGGGCGGGAGCCAGCGGAGGTGGCCCTGGTGCGTCCAACTCCTTGCTGTACACTGGGGACCTGGAGGCCCTGCAGAGGTTGCAAGCGGGCAACGTTGTGCTTCCTCTCGTACACCGGGTGACAGGGACCCTGGCGGCCACCAGCACGGCGGCGCAGAGGGTCTACACCACAGGTACCATCCGCTACGCGCCTGCTGAGGTGACCCTGGCCATGCAGGGCAACCTGCTACCCAACGCGCATGCTGTTAACTTCGTGGACGTTAACAGCCCCGGCTTTGGCCTCGACCCCAAGACGCCCATGGAGATGCTCTACCACCATGTGCACCGGCTCAACATGTCAGGACCATTTGGCGGCGCCGTGAGCGCAGCCAGCCTCACACAGATGCCCGGTGGCAATGTGTTCACCACGGCTGAGGGACTCTTCTCCACGCTGCCCTTCCCAGTCTACAGCAACGGCATCCACGCGGCACAGACTCTGGAGCGCAAGGAGGATTGAGCGGGGCCCCACTCCGAGGCATCGTCGGCATTTTTATTTAGACCTTTCATTCTTGCACTTTGAATTCGAGCAGGTCAGCGTCTTCTTGCAACACGGCGGACCCCTTCCACCCCTCTCTTTCTTTCACGACTTATTCTTTCTTGTAAAGACATGTTTATTTTTTTGCCTTCAGAGGGTCAGATGACCGGTTGCCTGCCATTTTGTCTTCTAAGATGTGTGTTGGGTTGTTTGGCTTTCCTTTGCATCTTTATTAAGATGTCTTTATGTGTATATGCCTCTGCCATAGAATACTCAGTCTTGTGGTCAAGAGATTTCTCAAGTGACAACCATTGGGTTTTCTTCCTAAAGATCTTGATATGATCAAGATGGAAAGAGACAAGCATAAATGATTGTGCCCTGTTGACTAAGTCAAATGAAATGGGGTGGCTGTTTTTTGATTTCCCTGTCCCTAATTCCTTTGAAAATAGGGGAATAGTATTTTAGAATTTTATGCAGAATTTAATTCTTTTTATGATTAAGATTTTAAGATTTTCTTACTTGCACATAAAAATAATTTGGGTTCTTAAACTTAATTTCTGGCCTGTGACTAGAATGTTTTAAAAAAAAGTTGGACTAAGTGGTAATTACTGAGACATTAACTTAATTTCTAAAACCATGGTGCTATCATTTATTAATCTGTAATGTCCTCATACAAAATGCAGCTCCCGGGCTGGGTTTTGGAAAAGAAACTGTGTCCTGTCCTAGTCTGGAGCCCCCGTTGCTACAGTCTCCTTGGTTAGTTAAGACAAAGCCCTCATTAGCATTTGCTGCAGGACTTACTTTTACCTCCCAGCTAACAAACATCGCCTCACTTTCAATTTAAGGGGTCAGTAAAGCTCTGTTTAAAGGGGGCTTTGGACAACTCGGACTGACAGAGGAGATGTCTGAGCACATATTGCCTTTCATTGAGCTTCTCTCTGCCCTTGCTCAGTCTAACGGAGACTGGTTTGCAACTTCAGTAACACTTCAGAGTGGAAGAAGGAAAAGGAGAAATATTTAACATGGTTTTTGTTTGGGATTTCTTGGGGCTAATTTGATGGAATTTATTTCCCTTTGGTTCTTATTTCTGAGTTGAAGCCAACACGTTTTTAAAACTAAAGAATTGGTTAATGAGCTTCAGACAGATAAAACTGCAACTGAAAACTGCACATTCAATGAAAAAAAGAAAAAGAAAAAAAAAAGAAAAAAAAATAGCCTATTTTGTCTTTGTTGCCAGAAATCAGTGTGGTGTCAAACACTCCAAATGACTGTCCAGTATAGATTCTTCTCCCACTTCCTTTTTGGCAGCTGTGTGTTAAGGCATCTAATACCAGGTGTGAGAACTGTAACGTGTGCAACGTGTCGTGTCCTTGGCTGTGGGTCCCATTGCAGTTTCGGTGTGTGTTCCTATATGCAGTATATGCTAAGCTAATGTAGTCGTTTCGTCCACTGTCTTCTCTGTGCTCTGTCTCTAGTGGAGTGGCGCAGTCCCATTCCTGCAGTCCTAGTGAATCAGTGACTCTTGGGGGTTAGTGGTTTCTCGTGGTGGCCTTTCCCTGTGCTGTCACCTATACTGCTTCTACTGTCCGCGCGTCCTGCTTTCCTTTGCCGCGTTCCTGCCTTTGCTTTGCTCTTGTATATTCCCCCTGCTTTCCCTGTCTTTCCCACTGGTCTCCCCCTTCTCTCCCCTGCTTCCCTTCTCGGATACCCCTGATCTATTTCATTCTCAGCGATTAAAAAGAAAAAAAGGAAAAAAAAAAGAGAGACTCTTAACTAGCTCAAGGTTAATGGAGCCATTTTTCCCACAACGGAATTCTGGGTGTGACGCTCCTGGAGTGCTACCCAGAGCACTGAAGAGTAATGCTCAGATATAGTAAATAAATCGATGCCATACAGCCTCAGTGTTAACATTCCCAGAGTCCCTTGTGCTCTACGGTTAAGCAGTGGGTGCTTTTCTTTGGTTTCCTTTCAAGTTGGCTGATGGAGCAGTATATAAAGCAATTACCAGTGAGACAGAAAATGATTTCAAAGGCCAACCAACATTTTTTTAAGCAAAATGGGAGGGGTTAATGGGATATAGAATTGTCATATATATTTGTTTATTCGTGCAATGCTAATATAGTAACTCAGCTGTCCTCTGAATTATCACCGTGCTGAGTGGATTCCTGTAGAACTTTTGATTCCGTGAGTTGGGCCCAAGCCATGGTGGAATAATAACAGAAGGAAGTTAAATGCCACAAATCTTAGCACTGAGCTTCCTTGGACGACTTAAGTCAGTTTAGAAGATGAGAAAAGCCGATGGAGAAATTTAAAGATTAGTTTTGGAAGCCGTACTCTAGCTATCGAACAATCAAGGGAATGCACCTATCAGCTACAAAGAACAGCTAGACAGCTGGGTGTTTTTTCTTTTATAAATGTTTCTGTGTTGTGTCAAAATGATTTCTGGTGATTTAAAACTAACAGATAATCACAGCTGCTGTCGAAATCCATAGTGTTTAAAATTACAAAATGAAAAAAAAAAACCACTCCATTACCTGTGAAGATTGTGTCTGTGTTTTTAACTATTTCTTGTACAAATCTATGAAAACTCTTAAGAGGGGACTGGTGCCACGTAGCTGAATAATGGGGAAAGGGATATTCTGTTCGTCAAGCCCTCAGCAGTGTGACCAACTCTACAATCTCTCTATAAAAATAATTAAAACGTTACAAAGCGACAGCTATGCTACGTTTGTTTTGTGTGAAGCTAACCGGACTTAACTTCCTGAGTGCCTGGCTTATTTTGAAACATTTTTTTTCATTGACCATTGATAATGCTGCAAATCAGAAATGTACATACTTCATTTACAACAGGGTTCTTTTTATACTTTTGTAGATTCTCATACATGTCACATACATGGTTGTCTTTATGTAACTTAATTTTTTCATCCGCAGGTGCCATTCTCATAATAAACTTCTCTTGGATTTGTTACTATCTGGCATCATTTCTTTTACATGGAATCATCCCGACTAATGAATGCTGGTAGTATTTGTTTAAGCAGGTACCTTGGTCATTATTCTTTATCTTTAAAAAAAAAATGAAAAAGCTTTTCTTTCAAAAAATGCATCCATATTTTTGTTAGTTTTGAAGAAAAATTATACGTGTAGCTTGTTTCCCAATGAGGCTGACAAGGCACAGATTACGATGCTAATCCAAATACTACACGGAACTTGCAACCATCCTGAATTCCCAGCTACCCCAACTCATTGTCATAGTGAGCATCTATTGTGCACGCGATCAACACCGAACAATGGGCCTGCGACATTAACCGCTGTGGGAGAGTGCATTTGTTTCTTGGCTAATGCACACTAAGTGGTGACAGTTTTCATGCATTAATCATGGAAAATGCACTCCGTATTTTCATTTCTTATAATCTATAATGTATAACCGACTGTTTCATGCTTCCGCCCTCTCTCTATCCTTGATACCTACTTTGTGGACAGGCTGGGGAAGTCATGGTTGGGCTGTGTTACGGTGAAATCAACATGTGGCCTGCTGTGTTTCAAAGCAGGTTATATGAAGGATTTTCTAAAGTGCCAGCTGTTATCTCAAAGGTAAGGATGAGGTGGGTCGGTAGGTAACTCTACATGCTATAGAAAAAGGAGACAAGTAGATTGAACTGGCAAAGGAGACAAACGCTTGCACAAAAACTACAGATGATAGTAACTCTCACCTTCCTAGTTTTAAATCTTGGGTGGCATTTGTCACATTGCCGGTAGCTGTTTTTAATGGGGGTGTAGATATGGCAGTGTAGTTAGGATTGTAGGACCCTAGGTTTCTCTGTCATTCCCTGTGTGGGCCCTTATTCAGAAGGACTTAGAGAAAGAAACACATACCTGACTTTGACCAGCTCCTTTCTTCCCCTTTGCTCCTGGAAGTCAGCTAAGTACATATATAGTTAGACTGGGAAAGTAAACAGGAGCAGAAACCCAATCTTAAACGAATGACTGGTGAATGAGGAAGGGACCGCCCCATGTACTCTGGTGGGAACTGGTGGTGCTGACCCCCAGGGATTGCTTTCAGGACTCTGCATGGGCCAAGGTCTCCTCAAGACACAGGGACAGTTGTATTAGTGACAGCAGATGATGCCAATGACCAGCCATGACACTCTACCTCTGGACATTCAGCCCTGTGACCCAGAAGTGGTAACAGTGAGGGTTAATGTGGGCAAGCCAGACACGGTAGATGAGTTCAGATTCCCCCAGTCTGCAGCACTTCTGCAGGAAAAGTGGCAGAGATTCTAGACTCTTATCCTCAGCATCAAGTTCCCTGTCTCTTATACGTACCCATCAATGTTAGGTCACTAATGAAATAACTTCCCAGCCATGGAGGTGAGTGAACTCTAGGGTCATACCTCTGTCCATCCGAACGCTCTTCCACTTCCTCAGTCCCAGGGCTGGCAGTCCAGCCAGAGTCCCCAGCTCTGCACAAACGAAGAGGCTCTACTCTGCCAAACTGGTAGCATGTGAGTTTGTCAGCGCTCTAATTTATAGTTGATGGGCAGATTGGCAGGGGTGAGGGAGCTAGGGGGACAGACACCAGTTCCCTGTACTGCCTCAGGTCTTCCAGCTGATGATGACAAAATTCATTCAGCAATAAAAAGAAAAAAGAAAAATTTTACACACAGTAACAGAAAAGCCAAAATGGAAGAACTGCACTTGGTCACGCTTGAAGAAGCTAGATTTAGTCCTCGTGGATGGTAACTGTTACCATCTCCCCCACTCCTAGACAAAGTCTATTTACACTGAGAATGTTTAATAAGCTAACAAGGAAGCAATCTGGCCTGGGCACTACATTGAGGGATAATATATAATACCGAGCACAGAAAGCGGTCTGTTCAAGCCAACACTCGTCTACAGATTCCAAACCATAGGAAGAGTAAGGGTCTTGGAAGACAAGGACAGATAGGAAGAACAGTTTTGCCGGCATCTTATGTCAGTGAAAAACACAAATTGTGTCAGGTAGCACAATTCCCAGAGACCACAAACGACAGGATCAGCAAACCTTTCTGCTACAGTAAGGCAAGTGGACGCCACAGCCACCTTCCGTTCTCTTGGGTCTCCTAGGAAATCATTCGAAAGAAAGAAAATAAATTCCCCATGGACATGAACCATTGTCTGTTCAACTTCATGGCCTCCAAGAGCCCTCAGGACTATGATTTTCAAATGCTATTGACTCTGTGAAGACCAGCTGAATGGTGGCCACGGGAGACAAGAAGACACGGCATGACCCATCACGGGGCAGAGGGTCTACTGAAAATATCCATGTTTGACAGGACAACTTGAGTCTGGATCAAGAGAGGAAGCTCAAAATGGATAAAGCAATGTGTTCACCTATTCCTATATCATGGCTGACACAGAGTGGCCAGTCCCCTGAGAAAATGTAGGACAGTCATCTGTGTGCCTACAATGTTGTCCTCTCTGTATCCAACATCTTTGTAGATAGAGAGTGGTAGAATCCAAGCAGTTCCTGATGTGGTACAACATGACACTGTATCCTGTGGCCAGCTACAAAATAGATACTGAACTCAAAAGAAAGCTTGTTTTCAAAGCCTCCTAGATGAACACAGGGCTATACAACAGGCCAGAGACGGGTAAGAATGGAGAGGGAGCTCCATTGTAGAATTCTAATGCTCAGGGTCTTTCTAGCTCGCTGTTGAAGAGTTACCATAAAAGGTTAGAGCTGAAATTCCTTCGGCTGTCAAACCGACTAAGTTTAAATGTTCTTCCGTCTGCCTGGCTTTCAAAGATGCAAAGATGGATGTCAAGTTTTCAGGAGAGCTCTAGGCCGAAGACTAGCTCCCCTACGGAACTGGGGCTGAATTCTTGCCGACTCCAGTCACAGGCATCTCAGTATACCAGATTTCATCGACTCCCTTGTATAGGTTTCCTAGGACCACTTGATTGCCACATCCTGGGTGGCTTTCATGGCTCTTAGGGGCTAGATGCCAGGGGCAGCAAAGAAGACCTGAAACAGACCGGGCTCCACGCTTCTTTCTTAGCTTCTGGCTTTACCAGCAATCCTCAACAGTTCTTAGTTGATACACACACCACCTTAACCCCTATCTCCTCTGTGCCCTCGTGTCTTCACATAGAGTTCTCCTGTTATACCTTTCTCATCTAAGGACAACTGCCACACCCAGTGCAGCTCCACAGACAGACACATGGACACACAGAAAGCTGGGATGGGGTGATCTGGGTTCTTAGCCGGAGAACCGTAGCACCCCAAAAGTGCAGCCTGTTTATTATATACAGCTGAGCAGAGGTGTGGGTTTATTCTGTACAGTTGCACCAGGAAGTGGGGTAATGACAGATAAACAAGGAGGTGGGATCTCCAGTGTAGAGCAGCATCAAGGAGGGGGCTTAGCTAGTCTCAGGAGAGGCAGTCTCTGGAGAGGAGCAGTCCTCAGGCCTCCCGGGAGAAAAAGCTCTGGTGAACGTTTTCTGCACACACTGTCGACACTCACGTTCAGACCCCACAAGGATGGCTTTGCCATCCCTCTGAGCCCAAGGAGTCGAGGCTATGGAGTCCTTGATATGGCCATGCCCACGTCAACAGCCCAGTCACTGGGGACTTTATTCGCTTGGGAATTCCTCTGCTCTTTACAGATCTCATTAGATTTACAAGAACCTTGTCTACTTCATTATAACCTCATCTGTACTAATTACAGCTACAACACCCAACTACACACACTGTACACACACATATACAACTACGTATGTGTGTAGTTGTGTGTGTGTGTGTGTGTGTGTGTATAAAGAAGATCGCATGTAGTGGTGCTGGGTTAACTTTAACTTTTTTTAACTTTCTATTTATTCTTTGTGTCTTTCACATCATGCATCTCAATCCCATTCATTTCCCCATCCCTTCATATCAGCCCTCGGCCCTTGTAACCTCCCCTCCCCCCCCCAAAAGAGTAAATAAAATAAAATTTAAGAGAAAAAGAAGAAAGCTTTTTTCTGGGCGGGAACAACCTGTTCATCATGTGTCACTGACCATATCACACAGCCATAGATGTGAGCAGGGTCTGCGGGGCACAGAGGTCCTGGTCTGTCTCTTTATTGGGGACTCTAGCTCTTGTGCTTGCATTTGTTAGCCGCTATATCAAGTTATCATCTTATCAAGCCTCCTCTCCACCAGAACACCTAGGTCTTCTTACAGAGCTGGTTAGAGCCAGTCTCCCTTCCTCCTGGTCTGTGCTATGGTGACAACTGAAGGGACGTGGGTGACTGAGAATGGGAGGTGAACACCGGCCTGTCTCTCGAGAAAGATCACTCCGCTTGCACTTCACATACACCGATGGGGAAACCAGAAAACACGTGCAAGTCTGGGTGTGGGTACAGAGTGCACCCATAAAAAGCACTTGCAGTGAGCTGCTCCCTTGTAGGTAAACTGAGGCAAGAGAAGAACTGGGAAGAGAAAGTACCTCATCAACCCCACTAAGGCCCCAGAACCAGTGGAAATGCTCTTGGCACGTTTGCGTAAAATCTATGCAAAGTTAAAAGAGAATTATGAGCTCTAACCCTTCATTTTCTAGAACATGTGGGGAGGTAACATAATCCTTTTTATTGGCCAAAATCAAGGCCAAAATATATTTGCCAGCTGTTTGCTCCTCCCAGAATTAGAATTTTCAGGCCCTGACTTTCCAGCTTTTGTCTTTTCTGGGGACATGCAGTCACTTACTGCATCCACTTTTTTGCTATTTGCAGTCACCAAATAACAAAAGAAATTGACTGTTTTGGAAGAATTTCCTTGAAAAAAATAAAAATTTGGGTTTTTAGAAATAATATGTGTGAACTATTAAAACTAAGGAGACAAAGAAGACAGAAGGTAAGGAGGAGACACTCCCCGTACTGCAAAAGTGCTCAGATTTATAGTGGAAGTGTCAGAAACAGGATGCAATATCCATGCGACCCC